AAGGTTGCAATGAGCCAAGATCGTGCCATTGCACTCCAACCTAGGCAACAAGAGCGAAACTCCGTCTCAAAAATAAAAAAGGTTTCTAGTAGCAACAGCTACCAATTATAAAGTGCTTTGGAATTGTATCTTAGTAAAATTATTGCCAATAAAATGAAGTTTGGGACAAAAGCAAGGCAGGAAATGCCCAGTGCTAGAATTCATGGTGTAATAATTAATGGATATGTTTCTGTCTTTCCCACTAAAAAGGATAATATTTAGAATATAAAGTATAAAACAAACATTGTAAGAGGGAACTGAAGATAAGATTGTAAGAGAGCACCTGACTACTCTAAATAAATCCACCACTCCTCTAAATAAATCCATCACTTCTGGCCTGAACAAATTACACTCCAGAATTTTGATAAAACTTGCCAGTTAACCCAATAAACCATTTGAGAGAAATCTGAGAGTTCATGTGAAAATGAGAAAGAAACTTGCTAGAAATCTGGTGATAGCTAAAATAAAGGTGAAAAGATGGTGAAATCTGCAAACGAAACCGTACATCAAGGATCTTAGTATTGATCCCAAATAGATCAACTGTCCAAAAGTTGTGTTTGCAAACAATTAGAACAAAAAGTAACTGCTAAGTCAGCATGGGTTTACTTAAAAAAAAAAAAAAAAAAAAAAAAGGCTGGGTACAGTGCCTCATACCTGTAATCTCAACATTTTGGGAGGCCAAGGCAGGAAGGATTACTTGAGCCCTAGAGGTCAAGATCAGCCCATACAATATGACAAAACCCCATCTCTACAAAAAATACAAAAATTAGTCAGGCATGGTGGTGCACACCTATAGTCCCAGCAACTATGGAGGCTGAGATGGGAGAACTGCTTGAGCCCAGAAGTTTGAGGCTGCAGTGAACCATGATTGTACCCCGGCACTTCAGGCTGGACAAAAAGAGTAAGAACCTGTCTCAAAAAAATAACAACAAAAAGCCAGACTAACTCATTCTCTTTTTAGATAGAATTACTAAACATATATCTGAAATTCTGACAAAGCATTTGGTGAGAAATTTCACGCTATAAAAATTAGAAAATAGGCCAGGTGCGGTGGCTCATACCTGTAATCCCAGCACTTTGGGAGGCTGAGGCAAGTGGATCATCTGAGGTCAGGAGTTCAAGATCAGCCTGGCCAACATGGTGAAACCTCGCCTCTACTAAAAATAGAAAAATTAGTTGGGCATGGTGGCACATGCCTGTAGTCCCAGCTACTCGAGAGGTTGAGGCAGGAGAATCACTTGAACGCGGGAGGTGGAGGTTGCAGTGAGTCAAGATTGCACCACTGCACTCCAGCCTAGAGACAGAGCAAGACTCTGTTTCAAAAAAACAAGAAAATATAGGCTGGATGCGATGACCCATGCCTGTAATCATAGCTACTCAGGAGACTGAGGTGGGAGGATCACTTGAGCCCAGGAGTCCGAGGCTTCAGTGAGTTACCATCATACCACGGCACTCTAGCCTAGGCAACACAGCCAGATCCTGTCTCTACAAAAAAATAAAGTAAAAAATTACCCACGTATGGTGGCACATGCCTGTAGTCCTAGCAACACGGGAGGCTGAGGCGGGAGGATAACTTCACTTTGAGGTTACAAAGAGCTATGATCACACTACATAATGAGACCCTGTCTCTTAAAAAAAAAAAAAAGAAAAAAGAAAAAAATATAAAAACCAAGTGGAAGCATAATTAAGGTCATTTACTGCACAAATAAACCTAAGGGAATGCTAAATAATTGATCAGTATTAACAATGACTTCTATTGAGATGAACAAGCATTCTGACTTGGCACTGTTCTGTAAAACACTTCCATCAATGACTTGAAATAAAACATAGTGGGCATATTTATCAAATATTGCTTATCTATTGTTGCATAACAATTTTCTACAAATTTGGTGGCTTAAAATACACATTTATTATCTCACAGTTTCTGTGGGTCAGAAGTTCACAGCATGGCTTAACTGGATCCTCTGCTTCAGGGTCTCTCAAAAGGCTATAATCAAGATACTGGCCACATGTAGAGTATCTCTCATTTGAAGGTTCAAATAGGGAAGAATTTGGTCCCAAGCAGATGTCATTGCTGTAATTCAGTTCTATGAGGGCTATTAGACTTAGGGCCTCAGTTCCTAGCTGTTACCCAAAGGCTTCAGTCAGTTCCTTGCCATGTGGACTTCTGCAAGATGTTCTCCTAGAAAGAAGGAAGTTACAATCTTATGTAACCAAATCACTTAAGCGAGATCCCATTGCCTTTCTCATGTTCTTTGGGTCATAGATCTTACCAAGGGATTATACAAAAACACGAATATCCAGAGGTGGAATCACTGGAGGCCATCTTAGAGTCTGCCTACCACTGTGTATCCCTCCAACATGTCAAGCATTTTTGCACTTCTCATCATTTGCAATAGTTGTTTCCTCTGTCTTGAGTACTTTTCCCTAATCACAATGGGCTCCTTCTCATCCTTCAAATATCAGCTCAAATATCATCTCTGAAATGTAACATTCATCAAATTTCCAAGTATCTTGGTTATATTTTTGTTCTCTGATTCTCCCAATATACAATAACTTCCTTGAGGGTAGGTAACAAGCATTCTAAATAAAATGCTATTTATAATAATACCTGCAGTTGTCGAGCTTTTGAAATGTGGCCAATCTAAGTTGAGACATGTTTTAAGTGTAAATATCCACTGAACTTCAAAGTATAAAAATAGGGATGTAAAATATCTCAATGCCATATTTATATTGATTGTATGTTGCAAGGATAACATTTTGGATATTATTTAATTTTTTGTTTGAGACAGAGTCTCACTCTGTTGCCCAGGCTGGAGTGCAGTGGTGTAATCTCAACTCACTGCAACCCCCTCCTCCCAGGTTCAAGCAATTCTACTGTGTCAGCCTCCTGAGTAGCTGGAACTACAGGCACCTGCCACCACGCCTGGCTAATTTTTGGATTTTTAGTAAAGGTTTTACCATGTTGGCCAGGCTGGTCTCAAACTCCTGACCTCACGTGATCCAACTGCCTTGGCCTCCCAAAGTGCTGGGATTACAGGCATGAGCCACCACACCCAGCCTATTATCTAAATTTTTACAGAAGATTGTTTTGGATATCTGGAGATCCGATATCTCCAGTACCTAAAGCAGTGCTCAGAATAGGCACTATTTGTTGAATATTCATTCAACAATGTACTGAAGTTGTGAGGAATGACAGACTTAAGATCTAAATACTTCAGAATAATGAGTTTTATTAAATAGAAGTTAATAGCTTGGCACAGTGGCTCATGCCTGTAATACCAGCACTTTGGGAGGCTAAGGCGGGTGGATCACGAGGTCAGAACACCTTTTGTCCCAGTTACTCAGGAAACTGAGGCAGGAGAATCACTTGAACCTGGGAGGCAGAGTTTGCAGTGAGCAGAGATCATACCACTGCACTCCAGCCTGGGCAACAGAGTGAGACTCCATCTCAAAAAAAAAAAAAGTTGATAGAAATAAATGTAAGTATATTGTACTTGAGTCTAAAAAACCAACAGGGCAGAGATTAAGATAAAGAATATAACAATTATTTTAAAAATCTCAAGTGGTACTATCCAATAGAAATATAACGTGAGTCACATATGGAATCTTAAATTTTCTAAAAGCAAAATAAAAAGGCAAAAATAGGTGAAACTATTTTTTTTTAAGACAGGGTCTCACTCTCTTAAGTATAATGGTGCGATCATAGCTCATTGCAGCCTCGAAGTCCTGGGCTCAGGAGATCCTCCTGCCTCTGCCTCCCAAGTAGCCAGGAAGGCAGGTGCCTGCCACCAGACTCAGCTGATATTTAAATTCTTTGTAGAGATGAGGTCTTACTGTGTTGACCAGGCTGGTCTCAAGTCATCCTCCAGCCTTGGCCTCCCAAAGTGTTGGGATTACAGGCGTGAGCCACCGCACCTGGCAGAAATTAATTTTAACAATACATTTTATTGGGTGGGTAGGGTGGCTCACACCTGTAGTCCCAGCACTTTGTGAGGCCAAGGCAAGCAAATTGCTTGAGCTCGGGAGTTCAAGATCAGACTGGGCAACATGGTGAAATCCCATTTCTACAAAAAAAATATATAAAAATGAGCTGGGCTTGTTGGCACACGCCTTTAGTCTTAGCTACACAGGAGGCTGAGGCGGGAGGATCACTTGACGCCGGAGGTGGGGATGGGAGTGAGGCAAAGGCTGCACTGAGCCAAGATTGGGTACACTGCATGCCAACCTGGGTGACAGTGAGACCCTGTCTCAAAAAATAATAGTACATTTTATTTAACTCAAGTATCCAAATTATCATCACTGCAATGTGTAATCAATGTAAGTATGTCATCGAGATATTTTACATCTTTAATTTTGTAGTTTGAAATTTGGTGGGTATTTACACTTACATGTCTCAACTTGGATTGGCTACATTTCAAAAGTTCACCAGCTACATGTATTATTATAAATGGCATTTCTATTTAGACTGCTTTTACAACTAGATTATGGAAGCTGTTGCATTTGAATTTTATCCTGCAGAAGTGCCATTACAAATTCCTGAGCATTATAAAGGCTTTAGTGAGTATATACTATATGCCAGGCACCACTCTTAGTGCTTCATATGTATTACCTAATTTCATCTATTCACAACCCTATGAAGCAAGTATTATTATCCTCATTTTACATGATAAAACTGTGAGTATTAAAATGATGGCAGTGTACAGGACAGACTAAAAGATGAGACTGACAAGAGTTAGGTTATTTTTATTTACTTATTTATATCCCTCTTTGACCTAGATAAAATTCCAGGGCATTAACAAAAGTACATAAACAAGACAAAATAACATGAGTTGAAAGTGGCACAAAAAAAGGAACATTTCTGCTGATGTGACTTCATTCCTGGATGTTAAACTCTGAGTTTTTAAATGTTATTTTATTGCAACAAAAAATATTAACATAATAGAAATCCAAAGTAAAGTTTCCTGTATTCCCATTATCTTGCCAAAACAATGATTTAATTCTTGCCTATATACATATTCCATTTTTACATATTTGCAGTAATTGCATAGCTAGTATTTTACATTCTATACTTTTTTCTCAGCATTATGTCATATTTTTTTCCTTTATGAGAGTCTTATGTGCTTACTCTCTACTCCCTCAGACTGTAACTAATGTTTAATCCTAATGTATTTCTTCATACTTTTCCCTATGCTCATCAATATGCATCCAAATATATACACACATATATGGCAAGGGGCGTTGTTGAGGTGGCAGGGTTTTAAAAAATGGGATCATATGTTTCTGTACACACTGCTTTTCACACTTTCACAGACATCTTTCTGCTTTAATATAGTTCTAACCCATTTTGGTTGCTACATAATATTCCACATAAAATCATTCATCCAACAATTCCTCTAATAATGGGCATGTAGATTGTCTTTCTCTTCTGCAAACAATGCTGCAATAAACATCCCAACACATATAACCACCTTCTGTGCTGATTTTTTTTCTTTTTTTAGAGACAAGGTCTCATTATGTTGCCCAGGCTGGTCTCATACTCCTTAAGGGATCCTCCCACATCAGCCTCCTGAGTAGATGGGACCACAGGCATGTGCCACCACGTTTAGTTAAATTTTTTTTAATTGCTTGTAGAGATGGGGTCTCCCTATGTTGCCCAAACTGGTCTTGATCTCCGGGGCTCAAGTGTCTTCCTGCCTCAGCCTCCTAAAGTGCTGGGATTACAGGTGTGAATCACTGCACCTGGCCTTAATCCCATTTTTCCATGAGCTTTTTGAAGTCCCCTTGCATGTGGTCCAAGAATGGAATATAAAATACATATATACACGTATACCTGTATATATGTCTATATATATACATATATACAGGTATACGTGTATATATATCTACATATATAAGTTATTTGAAGAAATATATAATGTTTAATGTATATATATACACATATGTATATATATATATACATGTGTATATATGTATATATACACACACACATGCATGCACACACACACACGTTTGTATGCTTGTAAAATTATGTGGATGATATAGGTTATTAATTCTAGCATCGTTTGTAATGCTATTGAGACTTATCCATGTTATCGCATGTATCAGCACTCATTTCTTTTTCTTGCTGAATGGTATTCCATTATAAAGAGGTTTATCCATTATTTTTTCATGTTTATCCACAATCTGTTTATTCATTTCACAATAGACGGATGTTTGTTTTTCCCAGACGTTGTCTATTATGAATAAATATTCTCCTCTAGCTCTTTATGGTGTTTTGATTTCTCTCAATTGCCTTCTTATTCGCTTGTGAGGGTTCTTTCCATATCCCATATACGTGTCCTTCATCAGGTATGTGGTTTGGAAATATTTACTTCCAGTCTGGGGTTTTCTTCTTTTCCTTTTCTTTTGAAATGATGTCTCACTCTGTTGCCCACGCTGGAGTGCAGTGGGCAATCTCAGCTCGCTGCAAACTCCGCCTCCTGGATTCGAGGGATTCCTCTGCCTCAGTCTCCTGAGTAGCTGGAAGTACAGGCTCAGGCGACCCCCCCAGCTAATTTTTGTAGTTTTAGTAGACACGGGGTTTCACCATGTTGGCCAAGATGGTCTCGATCTCCTTACCTTGTAATCCACCTGCTTCGACCTCCCAAAGTGCTGGGACTACAGGCGTGAGCCACGGTGCCAGGCCTTTTTCTTTCTTCCTTTCCTTTCTTCCCCTCCCCTCCCCTCCTTTCCCCTTTTTCCCTTTTTTCCCCTTTCCCCTTTCTTCTTTTCTTTTGACGGAATTTTGCTCTTGTTGCCCAGGCTGGAGCTCAGTGGCGTGATCTCGGCTCACTGTAACCTCCGCCTCCTGGGTTCAAGCGATTCTCCTGTCTCAGCCTCCCAAGTAGCTGGGATTACCGGAATGTGCCACCATGCCCGGCTATTTTTTTTTTTTTTTCTTTTTCATNGACCAAAAAAAAAAAAAAAGGAATCCAGCCCTCATAGGAAACAGATAATAAGCAAAAGTAAACTAAGCAAATTATATAGTCTGTTATAAGTTGAAGAATACTATGGAGAAAAAAAAATAACAAGGGGAAAGGAGATGGAAAGCCGGGCAGTCAGGGAGAAGCAATTTTTACAAGATGGTCAGGATAGATTTCAGTAGGAGGTTGAGATTTGAGCAAAGATTTGAGGGAAGTCAAGGAGTCAGCCATGTGGATATTCTGGAAGGAGAACATACAAAGGCCTTGAGGTAGGGACATACCTTGTGTAAACTGGGAAAAGCAAAGAGGTCAGTGAAACTGGGGCTTCACTGACCTAAGGACTGAAAAATGGGAGTTTATATATAAATTGCCTTAAGTGATCATGCTATTTTTCTTTCTCTTCACTCCAGTTGCTACACGGAGTCACATGGACATTCATGTAACATGTCCCCTCCTCTTCACCTCCATACAACACCCAGGGTGATCATTTTGATTTTCCACATCAGTGTCAACTGTGGGATTTTATGACTTCCAAAATATGCCAGAACTATACTCAGTTTATTTTTGTAGATCATCATCAGGGTCTTGAAGCCAAAAATCTAATTATTATTTTTTTGAGACGGAGTTTAGCTCTTGTTGCCCAGGCTGGAGAACAATGGCACAATCTCAGCTCACTGCAACCTCTGCCTCCCGGGTTCAAGCATCTCTCCTGTCTCAGCCTCCTCAGTAGCTGGGATTACAGGCGCCTGCCACCAACACCTAGCTAATTTTTAAAAATTTTTTATTTATTTTTCTTATTTTATTTTTTTTTACTGGCTGATATTTGTATTTTTAGTAGAGATAGGGTTTCACCATGTTGGCCAGGCTGGTCTCGAACTCCTGACCTCAGGTGATCCACGGCCTCAACCTCTCAAAGTGCTGGGATTATTGGCATGAGTCACTGCACCCAGCCCAAAAATCTAATTATATCTTAAGAAAACTGACTTGGATCAGGGCACTATTCAAAGAAAGGATTGGGACATGCACCATATAGCAAAAGTGCCAATTTTTCCTTTCTCTATCCAACCAATCCACTTCCTTCCCTTCTATAAAACCTATTTCTAGGCCGGGCGCGGTGGCTCACGCCTGTAATCCCAGCACTTTGGGAGGCCGAGGCGGGTGGATCACGAGGTCAAGAGATCGAGACCATCCTGGTCAACATGGTGAAACCCCGTCTCT